AACCCCCCTGCTCCAGCAGGGTCACCTAGAGCACATTGCCAAGGACTCTGTCCAGACAGCTCTTGAATATCTCCAAGGATAGAGACTCCACCACCTCTCTGGGCAACCTGTCCCAGTGCTCAGTCACCCTCACAGGAAAGAAGTTTTTCCTCATGTTCAGACCGAACTTCCTGTGTTTCAGTTTGTGCCCGTTGCCTCTTGTCCTGTCGCTGGGCACCACTGAGAAGGGTTTGGTCCCATCTTCTTGGCACCTTTCCTTCAGATACACATTGATCAGATTCCCCCTCAAGCTTCTCTCTCCAGGCTGAAGGGACCCAGCTCTCTCAGCCTTTCCTCATAGGAGGAAAGTAGGAGAAACTACAGTCTCCTGATGATCTTAGTAGCCCTCCACTGGACTCGCTCCAGGAGCTCCATGTCTCTCTTGTACTGGGGAGCCCAGACCTGGACACAGTACTCCAGGTGAGGCCTCACCAGGGCTGATCACCCCAAGGATCACCTCCCTTGACCTGCTGGCAACACGCTTCCTAACACAGCCCGGGATGCCATTGGCTTTCTTGGCCACAAGGGCACATTGCTGGCTCATGCTTAACTTGTCCACCACAACTCCCAGGTCCTTCTCTGCAGAGCTGCTTTCCAGCAGGTCAGCCCCAGCCTGTACTGGTGCATGGGGACTACCTCTGTTGCCCTGAGAATTCCACATTTGAAACCCAGAAATAGGGAGGTCCACTAATTATTCCTCGGGTATTCTCTAGGATGGAACAGATCTTTGCCCTATATGCATTAAATGGAGTAACTCATCAGTAGTGATGATCTTTTCTGGTAATGCCCAAGTAAAGCTTTTTCAAGCCTGTTCACAGAATCCAGCCAGCAACCAAAATGCTCCCGACATGACAGAGTTCCTAAACGATGAAACAAACAGCAGTAGGGACTCGATCTAATACCAGACAGGCAGAAGGCCCCAGGAGCATGGGCTGAGATTCAGAAAATCAAGGAACAAGGACTGAGCAATTTCTGCTGCTTGTGCTGAAATGATGATACTCAGAGGCTTATTACAATAAAATGAATGCAGCGCACACGGCTATTAGGAACAACTTCCCACAGCCAAACTACAACTAATGACGCAAAACATGTTAGTATCTTGTGAAATACATAAGCTTGTTCTTTCATGACAAAATTATGGAAAAATTCCATGTGTTTGGGGAAAAAAAAGAAGGAAGAATCTGGCAGTATTTGGGGAACACTCTATCAGTCTCAATAGGAGTCCTGCAACTACAATGTTTCTGCTGTGCTTCTAAGGGGAGAACAAGCATGGGGAGAGACAAAGGAGGAAGCTGGAATTACCCATGCTGATATCTGTTACCAGTCCATTATTTTGTCTTTTTTCTTAAGTTTTCTGACAATCACCTCCTTCAAAATGATATTTTCTTATTCCTAGTAGTAACAATAAAAACTCAAGCTGCTTTCTGCAATTATGGCATTATTCCCCTGTACCTTCTCTTTGTGGAAGTGAAGCAGCTGCAATTCATATTGTCGTTATCTTCTTATTATCTTAACATATACAAAGCAGTGCTGTTACGGACCTAACTACGGCTACTCTATATGTAATTTAAGAAACTGCATAGAACAGAGTAAGACAAAGGACTGCATAATGTAGGAAGAAAAAAAAACAGGAGGAGGATATGAGAGATACAGAAAGAAGATGAAAGATAAGAGGAACATCTGTTAAATATATGTTGCCAAAAAAGCATGTGAGAAGAGAAGAATAAATGTAGAGATTTCAGTGAGGAAAGTGTAAGAAGCAACAGCAAACAGCACGGGCCTAGAAGATATCCAAAAGAAAAAATTATATGATTTGGAGGACATTGTATGAGGACAGGAAATGGATAGAGGGATGTGCAGGGGAGCTGAAAATACAAAGGTAAGAAAGCACATGGAATAGAAGAGTACTGAACCAGCAGGTAGCAACATTCGGGGACAGAAGAGGGTAAAGAGGAGCTCTCCCTCTCTTACAAGTCTTTTTGTGCATAAAGTCAAAAGTTAAGCTCTCTGCCAAGTTCACAGAAATTGGCTAACAGCTGCTCCCTCCAAAGGAAAATAGTAAAGAGATCTCATATATTATGTAAGACAATTTCATATGCATTTGAAAAATATCACAAGGTACTTCATTCCTAATCCGGATTCACTACAGCACCCACAAAGTGTGCTTGGTCCTCTGAAAGCTTATTTCACACCAGCCGTTGAGGCAAAGAATGATGCCAAATGCAGCCAAAATTGAAAGCAGAAAGGCAGATCAAGTGAAAGAACATCTGAAGTGGCTACTACAGACAAGATACAGGCAGAGCAAAGAGAGTAGAATGGTCTGCAGGGGATAGGATGGCCAGTACCTTCTTAGTCTGTTCCTCCTCAGCCCTGCACCTTCTGAATTCTGCTTGGTGGGGGACTCCATGCCCTCTCAGCCCAGGTAAAGCAGGGGAGCTGGAAACTTACAGGAAAAGCTGAGTGTGTACAGTCACCTTGGGTTGTTAGGCCCTCTCTGCTCCATGCCCTTCTGCAAATAGCCCCAGCTCCTGAAGGCGGAAAGGTGAAGCCTGCATGTTTTTTGTAGTAATTTCAATTGGCTGCTGTCCTTCAGCAGGCACGCAAAAACACAGCCAAGGAAGTGGCACTGAAAGGGAATGCCCCAGCACAACCAAGATTGTCCTTTAGATTAGTTTGTTCCCTGATTTGTTTCTTAATTCCTAGGAAAGGGCTGAAGAGAACTGAAATAGTGGCATTTCACCCTCTTCTCTCCTTCCTAAAGTGGGAGCAGAGCTTCCTTTAAAGCCACAACACCTACAGCTTGCATACCAAGCATGTTCAAAGCTGAATTTCACACTTGGAAATGTTTGCATTTAATCTAACACATGTAGTTTTCCCTAAGGAGTATGAGCAGGCACTTATCACAGATAACTACAGTGTAAGAGTATGCAGTTATGTTTTTATCTCATATTGGGTGTCACTGTAAGGATTACAGTCCAACATACCTTGGAATATTTTGTAAACTGCTTAGATACTTAAGGCTCAAACATTCAAGGCGGATTAAACAGAATCTGAAAAGAGAAAATCATTAATTCTTAAAGGACCCCAATAGCTTATCTAGAGACTGGGCTCAAAACTAAAATTTTAGCAACTTTTATTTGCCCATGTAGGACAGTGAGAGTGACCTTATTCTCTCTCTACCAGCTCACGAAATTGAATGACATCTGGTAGAAGAGTAGTCAAGGGAGAGCCTGGCACTCCAGGACAAAAACAAGTAGCAGACAAATTAGGATAGGGGAGAAATGGGGAAGGTTGCAAGGGTGGTACAGACTGTAGAGATAACAGAACACCTAGGAGAGGCGAGACAGAATTGTAGGGAGAAAGAGGAGATTCTGGAGGGAACCAAGCTGTTGCAGAGGTGGGGATAGAAATATTAGCTGACACCTGACAGATTCAAACCTCACCTATTTTGAGCTCTGTAGACACTTAACAAATGGTACCTGGAACCATTCTCTCACCATATAAAAAGAACAGTCTAAGGCATGGGATTCTTCTTGCTTTATTTGATGGAAAATGTATTAATGAGGTTGCATAGGCACCATTTTCTTTATAATAAATAGATGCAGCCGGCAGCAGCAGCTCTTCAGTTGTATCTGACAGCTATACTTTAGGATTAAGTGATTTTAACATTGGTTCTACAGGCAAGGAACTGCTGCTTTTATTGACTCTCTTCCTGATGTCCACCTGGATACAAATGAGGCACCCTCTTACCTATGTGGAGTTACTGAGGGGGAGACGTTTGCAGTTCCAGCAAGGAAGGACTTCACACCAATCTCCTACCTATCTGGATGTGCTGCCATCCAGCCCACAGCAGCAAAAAGAGGTGCACCAACCCATAAAGGGGAAGAAACTGGCAACCCCGGTTACATCTTGTATGCAGATTAGTGATTTCACACACCTTTATCTGTTAAATTGGGGTTCTTTAGAATACAAGATCTGAGGAGGTGCCTAAAACAAATACAGATGATAAGAACTTTAATCCTCCAGAAGGCACTATTGGCTTAATCAGTGTATAAAAATAAGCCTTCAAATGTGGGCATACAGTATCCCACTTTGTATCTCGTACAGGAAAAACATACTCCCAATGCTGCCCAAAAATTCCTTGTTAACTGTCAGTAACTGAACTAGTGAAATGTTGAATTTCCACATTTGCCAGTTACTTAATCACTATGCTCACAAGGGGCTTCAAGAAGTCTTCAATAGGGCCAAATCTCTTATTGGTGGTGATAGGCTAATTTACACTGACTAGTATTAAGTCAGCTATCTCTGATAAAGAATCCATTAAAGAACTGAAAAGAATAAATGAAACTGAATAAATTATTGAAGGATTTGAGGTAAACACCACCAGATAGACCACCTGTCATGAAAGAGACATGTTCTCACGTTGCTGTCAACCACAGGGACCACAAAAAGAACAATTTATCATCACTTTGTCTCCTTGCTGCTGTCGCTTGTCTTGCAGTGCACAGCTCCTTCCCGGTATTATGAAATGCTCTCCGCACCTGACCTGAAGACGACACTCCCTGGGATTTCATCCCAAGGGCTGAAATGCCACCCACTTCAGTGGGTGAAACCCTGAACCGTCTTGCCAGGTGGCAATGACAGAGTTGCACAGCAAGCTTACATAACAATGAACCTGATCAGTCTGAGGAAATGAGGAACCTCAGATGATATTTTCTGACTAATTTGAAAGCTTCTCCTAAGAGCTTTTTTTTTTTCTTTTTTCTTTTTTTTTTAAAAACTCCTCCACCTACTAATATCCTGGGACAGACTGAAAGGCCTATCTCCCCAAATGCAACTGTGGCTTATGAGAAAGAACGCACCAATCTTTAATCTAGAGACTTCTAATTTGTAGACTTTGCTTTAAATTCTTTCTCCATTAATCCTGTTCCCAGTTAGCAATAAATAAGGCCCAGTTCTAATTGTTGCCTTCATGCCTTTATTTGTTATGCATTATGAGAGTTTTACCAAGATTTTCAAAGCAGAAAAGAGGAATGAAAGATTAACTTTTTGTAGGTACACTCCTCAGAATGCAACTGTTTGAAGAACATCTGTCAGGGTAGTGACTGACATTAACGTTGAGATAAGGAAAGCAAAAATTTTAAGATACGCAAAGAGGGATTCACATGCATCAATCCTCTTGCAGAGCAAGTCCTCCCTGCATCTGTGGAGAACCGTTGCCTATCGAGGAATGGCACAGAACTGGTACGGAGCTGGCCTCATGGTGCTCCCAAAAACAAATTTGGTGTTGACTTCTTTCACCCCTTCTGGCAGGATGAACCTGAATGCTTGTAACAGGGTGGAAAAGAAAATAAAGAGCTCCATCCTTGCCAGCTGCTCCCCCATGCATACACGGTGCCCTGTAAAAATACAGAAAAAGGCAATCAGCTAAGGTTTTCTATCAGACCTCACTTTCTAACTTGATTGCAGTCTTCAGAAGAAACACTATTTATTCTCAAATAGCTAAGGTTTTTTTGTTTGCATGCTTGCTTTCTGCAGACTTTGTCATTTTCTCCCATAATTACTGAATTTGTCACGTAACGATTCAGAACTGAAAGGCTGCTTGTATTTCCACTCTGAAAGTTTTCATCTGTATTTACAGAATGCAGACAGGACACTAGAAATGATCGCCAAGGTTGCAGAGTTTGCATTTATGGGCTTATTAGCACTATGAATTTTGCTGCTACTATTTTGATAACTAGATCTCTCTTCTAAAAGAAATTTTTCTATGTATCATTCCTTCTCTTCCTACCTTTTCACAAAAGATGGCACTTTTTTCTTCTTGGAGATCTTTAGAACAGTGGAATGCATTTATATACCTACAGGTTCTTCCCCAGGTCGTGTCGAGGAATGAATGAGTCTCAAATTACTACTACCTGGAGTAAATAAATCCCTGTTAAGTGCACTTACCTATTGAGAATGGTAAGAATGCTTCTCTGTTTACAAAGTTTCCATCTTCATCCAGAAAATGACCTGGATTGAACTGATGAGGTGTCTCCCATTTTTCAGGGTCAAACAGAACAGAGTCAATATTGGATAAAATTATGGTGTTCTGGAAGAAGGAGCAGCTACTTCAGTTCTGTCTTACTGTTCATATTCATCACATAAGCACATAACGACAGAGGAGCAAACAATTTAAAGTGCTAACTAAAGTCTAATTTTTGAAAATGAGATCAAGCTTTCAAACATTCATAAGAAGTTTAAACTTTTGAGAATGTTATGATTTCTTCTTTTCCTTTATTATTTGCCACCAATAAATTCAATAAAATAAATGGCTTTATTTTTACCTTGTTCAAATGTGATGTTTTTATTTTTCCTTTTGCTGCTGTATTTTTAATACTTACTCAGCTGTTGACTTACAGAATATCATGGATAAAAATTTAATTTTTCTGCTTTGTTACATTGTAATTTCTGCAGCACTAGACCAGCTTTGAGCAGATCCAGAAAAAAAGGAATAACAATGAAACTATATGAAGAGCAATTATAGGAAAAGATTTAGAAATAAACCCCAATGTATCTTTCAGTTACAAAACTCAAAAGTACTTTATTTTATTGTTACATTTGCAAGATACTGTAACTGAAACCTTGTGACATGAAAATAATTTCAAATTTCCAAGTTTTGCAGTAAAACTTTTTTTTTTTCCATTTTTGGACTGCTCCTGTTCACAAGCTGATAAGCCCATTTGGCACGGGACAGACCTGAGATTGCTGGAAATTGATTTGCTTATTTCCGGTCACCATTTCCAGGTTCTCTACTGGCAGAAATCATGATCTATGAAGCTACCATTAGTAAAGACAAAGCGCACATTTCCTTGTAATAGGCCAGCTTTAGAGACAGTCATATCTTTGAGGACGCAAGAGTTCATCTCCCCGTTCAGAAAAGCCTTCAAAAGGCTTTCTGGATGAAACTTCGTAAGTTCTTCATAACTTCATACTAGAGACCTATCAATGTCAGTGCTTCAGTGGTTCTTAATTACTAATGCTTTCCAACTAAATGAGCAATTAAAACAAAAGAAACGAAAAAAGAACAGTGCTTTGGGAATCACTAGCTAAGGTAGCTTCAGTAGTTAGAAAAAAAAATTTAAATAATTTTACAAGATTTTAAAATGATATCAGATATTCAAATAAAAAATATCTTTGTACCTTTGGAATATGAAATCCCAGCAGCTCCGTATCCTTCACACTCTCTCTGGGAAGGGCAATTAAGATAATACTACTGTATCGCTGGATCTCATGAATTACAGCATTTGTATAGGGAACCTTCTTTCTGTCCTCGTAGCAAATTAAATGGGAGGGACCCAGAACAGTGTCCAGCTCCTTCTGGACTTTCTCTAATGAGAAATATTCATCTTTAAATACACAACAATCTGTAAACTCTATATTCATCATTTTTCCTATTACTTTTTACAGTAATTAAAAACACCCAACAAAATAATTTATAAATTAAAATTTATTTTATAAAAATAAGAATCCCTTCAAATTCCCATGCAGGTTATCGAGATAAAACTGGACATTGAACTTGTTTCTACGTTGCATATCTAAGCAATATTTTAAAAGTAACAGTAGGAAACAAAGTCCTTTTATGAGAACATTTAGGCTCCTGCTGCATATATTGCTTTGGGGTAAATTATAAAAAGGCTTGCATTATTATTTATTATTAGATGCTGGGAGAAAACTGGAAAATAAAATATTAGTCATGTAGTCGGGGATCATTTTAGTAACTGAGCAGCAATTGTTCTCCACCCAGAACCACATACATTTTGCTTGTCGTTTACAGATGGTGTAATTACTATTCTGTAATTATTTGCCTGGGGAAACATTTCTACAAATGAATTTTTTCTCAAGGACACTATTTTTATGCTTAAAATCTGAGCTGAAATGGCAATTGTTCGATTAATACTACAACCTTTATCACTGCAATTAGACTGACCCTATGCACCAGGAAACTTGCAATCATCCTTATATAACCTGAGAGGTAGACAGATCATGTGAAAATTCATTAGATATGTGTAATCCAGGTTCAAATTTTAGGTTTTTGAAGGGTGGTTGAGTAAGAATAATGGGAGATCCTTTCTCCTTACTTCTCCTACCACTTTCGTCTTACTAGTCTCCTTATGTACCTGGTCCCCAGCTTAGATAAGGCTCTCAAAGGTGAGGCCTTTGGAGGGACTTATATACCTTTTAATGTTTTGTATTCTGCACACACTGATTCTTCCTTTCCACTTATTTTCACTCTGCCAACCTGTATCTTTTGTCTGTGAATGTCACTGTTAAAGGCACACAGTTTCAGCTACTCGGCCCAATCTTTTTTATATCTGTGTGCATACATATATATATATATATAGGTATTTGAGGTTATAAGTTTCATGGAATAAACACACATGAACAACCTCCCACTGCACTGAAATTATTTCTGCTGCAAAGAACCTGGAGCATATCGAAGAGTAGCAGTCATGGGTCAGAGAAGGTGGTTTACATCTTGACTAGTCACCTAAAGACCCCATTTTGTGTTTGGTAGACGTCTAATCAATATTGTTAGTGGAGGGGCAAGGGTGACATTAACCTTATCCTAGAGTAGAGTCCTCCATTTGATCAGATGAATCACACCCTCCATTAAACTAGATCTCCCAAAAAGGACGCCTAAAATGACTAGCCTCTATCTTAGGAATGATAGAGCAAGAAATGGACACATGATGCAATTCACCTGATTCATCAGCTACTAATCAGCATCTCTACCGTTCTTTGAACAAGCTCCACTAATATTTGAACCTCTATAGTTTCTAAAAAGTTGCAGAGTTGTTTGGGTGCACTCACCTTGAATATCTGGATAAACCACCATATAAAGCAATGCCCAACGTAAAGTGGTGGCTCCAGTTTCTGTGCCTGCCAGAATCAGGTCGAAAATACTCTGAGTCAAATTTTCTTCATTATATGTAGCATCAGCATCTCCTTTAGTCTGCAGATAGGAATCAAAAAGATGAGGTTAAGGCATACGAAAAAGAAGTGCGTCACAAGAATATACACTGATACTATTCAAAAAACAACAACAAAAAAAAGAGAACTAGAAAATAAAGCTTTTTGAATAATATAAAAAGATTTTCTAATTTTTTAATTGTAAATTTATCCCATCCTTAGGCACGTTTTGCTCTTCAGCAGTGACAAAGCTAATGAGCTTACCTACTTTCTACTCTCACTGGAATTCCCATCGTAATAGTCATTTATAGCTGTATCTTATCATATGCAGATCTGTTATTATCTTGGTTATAGGAAATCTACTGTAAATCCTCTCACATTATTATTTCCTCCTCCCCCTCCTGCTATAGAACAGTTTCAGCTTTTTTAAAAATTCATCCACCTATAAACAAGGATAAATTGTATATTTCTTAATTGGTATTAGTATCATAATCAAAGTAGCACTTAAAATCCATAGATGTGCAATGGAGCCACAGAGGAGTTGAAAGCAAAGATACTCACTTTGGCTATCTGATCCAAATAGAAATCAATAAAATCTTGATTTTCCTCTGTTTTTCCTTTTTTCTTGTGGCTTTCAATCTCTTCTGCTAATAAAGCGTTCACAAAACTTATGTCAGACATAGCCTTCTTGCATGGTTCTAGGAAACGCCTTGCAAACCAGGGAAACCATTCAAATACCTAAAGAACAGAGATTTAAGAGACATGGTTCATTACTGAGAAGCTAGATTTGAATCCTAACATAGGCCTGTGGGTAGTGGAAGAAGTGAATGAAAGACACTGATTACTACATCTTCACCATTACATCTGAAGGCCTATCCAGTGATCCATTAAAGCCTTTCTTAATCCTATTTTTCCTGAAGCAGAATTTCCCTTAGCTTTATGCTTTAGATTTTCTAGTATGATGTACGAAGGATAAATCAGGTTCCTCTGTACCCCAATTCCTTACTAGGCTGAACCTCAGCAGTGAGGACAACATAAAGAAAATGCCCCTGCTCTCCGTTTATCCAACATCAGTATCATTTCTCTCTCATCATTAAAAAAACAGATCCAGATTCAGTTTCTTTGACCAATCTGCTCAACTGGAAATAGAAATATCCAAACCCAGATTTCTTAGTATTTTAATAGAGGATATTGAATGCATGGGAACTTCACTCAGATAGGTCTTCTCTTCGACAAGAAGCATAGTCAAACATATCACATCTGCGTGATATGCAAAAAACGTTATGATCTAAAAATATATCAAGTCACATAGATTCCCTACTGTTTATTCTTTTTTGTTAACCTAGTCACATTCTTTCACTTACACCTTTATAAAACTGCATCTCTGCAGTACAGAGACAGAATAGTTTTTACATTGACTCATCCCATTCCTCTGCTTCATTTCCTTTTGTTTGTTCCCTTTATAGATTGCACAGTGCCCTTCCAGATGGCAGAATTAACCCTTCAGCTTAAATTATGCATTAGGTTATAACTCCTGGCCTCACCTATTTAAATAGCAGCTAGATTGCAAATGTGCATCTTCTCACAAATGTATTCAGATTCCTGACTTGTTTCTTCTTCGTCCCACTGCACAATTTTGCTTACGGCTATCTGTCCACTTACCAGAAAAATAAATTAGAACAGGCAATCATTAAATGATTTTACATCACTACTAGAGACAGTAGGACAGAATTAAACATTGGACTAGAATGCTTTGGTTGGCTATGGACACTCCATTAATATAGTTGCTAAGAACAGGCTATACAAATACCTACTGAGAATAGTTTAGAAATAACTGATCCTGCATTAGATGGTAGCTTAAGAATCATTTCAGCTGCATCTTCTGGGAGAAAAATCATAAGCATTTTGATTTGTTTATCAAAAGCATCAAAATTTAGGACTTGAATGCTCGTTTACAGCAATTTTCAGTGAGTAAGAGACGGGAAAAAAGTGAAAAAGCATGCCCACTGAGTTCCAGCAAGTTCTGAAGAAGTAGGCTGCCACAGTAATGAGTAAATTGACTTCTTGACTTTTATACAGTATTGTGGTTTTCATTCATAATTGTTAATAATTGTGTAAAATTGCCCTTTTTTGAGGCAGTCTGTTCCATGATGTTTGCAGCAGCAGCCACAACGTCACACAGAGGCAAGACAGCAAATTCTTCCGTCTGTTGGACCAGGTTTAGGTTTGAAGTTGGGAACCCCTCTCTTGCACAGAGGCAAACATCATCCAGCAGCTAATGGAGAGCAACTTCCAGTGAGCATTACTGAATTCTCACAAGGATTTGCAGATGTGGTAGAGGTGTTGCTGCCAAAAACTATAGCAAGGTGCCACCGATAAGTATTTGCACATGTTACCTTTGTGCAAAACAGTTGCTCTAGTTAAGGTTCTACAAGGTTAAAAAACAGTAGTGAAGGAAGCAGTTAAGGGCCATGTTACTCTTTTGATAGTTATTGACTGTCACATGATTTCATATAGTATAGAAAGTCACTTTATCAGACAAAATTAAAAATAAGCCTACTTCAGAGCTTCTCTTTTTTTTTTTTTTTGCCTGTATTTTGCCACTGAGTTTCAGGTATAGTTTCAAACACGGGTTGTACAGGTAGTGCTCTTGCAAGAAAATCCTTCATACAGCTACTAAATACATAGCAACCCTATGAGTTCCCATCTCTTTCCACCAGAGATACACGTGTGATTTTATGCTATGATGAGGCATAAGAAATTTAAAAAAGTCTTAAACTAGGCTTCTGGAAGTGCTGTTCTGAAACATACTCCAGCAGTTCCAGCTGCATTAGTATTTACTTTTGTTATAAAATCATTTAGAAAGTTGCCTTTTTCACTGTCTATCTGTATAAAATAAAGACACAAATAATAATTTTCCTCACAAAAAAAGAGACGCTGTTCCCAAATGCTGCTAAATCATCAATGGCTTCAATCAAGCGGCGAAAATTTTCATCCTCTACAGAAAAGCGATGTCCAAAAATCACAGCAGAAATCACATTTGAGATAGCTTGAACAACAGGTACTGTGGGGTCCAGAGGCTTTCCTGTAAACACAGTGAATAGCACTTACTGTTCCTGCTTTCCCT